TAGGGAAATTTTCTAGCTTTTTAATTGTAGACTTTGTAGTGGTGTCACTTATATAAAAAAATGTTTGGTTCATAGTTACATTTTTCAACAAAAAATTTGCCATGTGAAAAAGACCTTGTTTCATTTGGTCATGTTTTTGGTTCTAATTTTTCTCAATGATGTTCTTGGTCTCATGCCCTTTCCAGAAAGTCAGAAACAGAATAAATTGAATAGTTGAATAATTTTTATCATTTCCTTGCTGATGGAATTATCACTTTTTTTTTGTAAATTGTCACTTATTTTTTGTTTGCAGTCAAGTTGTTGGATGGCCTCCACTTGGAGCATATAGAATGAACAGCTATAATAGTCATGCAAAATCACCAGCCACGGAAGTAGTCGATTCTATAGTTGACAAAAGAGCAAGCAATAGTTCTGGGGTAAGGAAGAGTGCAGATGGAGGCAGTGATAGTAGCAACATTATTTCCAAAGAAAAAGGAAACCTCAGGAGTTCCCTGTTTGTGAAAGTAAAAATGGATGGGATACCAATTGGAAGGAAGGTTGATTTGAGTGCTCATGGTTCCTATGAAACCTTAGCTCAAACCTTGGAGGATATGTTTGATGAATCAGCTACAGTCCTTACTCACAAAGGTGACTTTTTCTCTGTCTTCACACTCCTAATAAAGACAATGCAACTCCTGTATGAAATTATATTATGTTTTCAAGACCACTGAGATTTCATGTGCTTGGTGAATAATATCTAGTTAACTCTTCCATTTCTTTCTTGAGTCCTCTTTAAATATGAATCTCTATTTATTAAAGAACATATAAAATGCACCTATGATTATTTAATCATCAAATAATTCAAAACACCTAATTTCAAAATCTAAATTTAGTACACTTATGTGCATTCACATATCGGGTATCTATGAGTATGGGTAACTTAGAGTCGCCCCTTACCGATTTTATAAGTAATTGGAAAAGGAATCCCACATATTCAATCCATGAATTTTAGTTTTACCAGCTGGTATCCTTTGGAATGGATATTTTTGGTACGATATGATGATAACTTCTCCCACTTTTTTTCACTTTGCCAAATCTGGACGTATGTGTGATTGACTATTGTCAAAAAAGGTTGAAAAGCTGACAAGCACATGTGAATTACATTATGAAGGTGGCTGCAGTAGGGATTTAAACTTTTACTCTACCTTTCATTTTATTTTTCTCATTGTGTATAAAATATAGATGTCTTATGTACTCCTTTTCTTTCAAGAATCATAATTTCAGTCGTGCAGCAGGTGAGATCAAAATAAAACGAATTTCAAGGATACAAAACAAAACTACTTAACTTGATATTTTATTTTCATCAATACAATTCTGGCATGTCATTTTCTTCTATTGGTGACTTGTGCATTTTGGTTTTGAGATATAGCATAGCATTTAGTTTTTTCCTTTCAATGTGTTTGATTCCTCTTTCCCGCTAATGGCTTTGACATTGTTGTCAGTAGGATCAAATGCAGAAGATGGGCATTCAAAATTGCTGGATGGTTCTTCTGACTTTGTGCTTACTTATGAAGACAAGGAAGGAGACTGGATGCTTGTTGGAGATGTTCCTTGGTGGTAAGTATTTGGTTGATACTCATCAATTAGATTTTAGTGACTAATTTTCTTCCTCCAGTGATATCATTGACGTGCAGTATATTTTTCCATCCACTTAAAATTTGCTTTCTTGATTCATTTTCAAATATTATGCGTATTGTTTCATTTAGTCTGGCAAATCTAAGTACACAACTATGTGCTAGGATGTACTTGCTGCTTTCTTGATGGTAGCCTTAGCTCTTTGGAAAAGCCTCAGTGCATCTAATGCTAATACAGAACAAACATGGTTTTCCATATTATTGTATGTTGTAAACTTATTATTTTGGAGGAAAACCTTTAAACTTCTTTATTAGTCTTACCCTTGATTGGCTTTTGACGGCCCAGGATGCTATATGAAAAATTGATGTTGCCAGAAAGTAGCTTCAAGATATAAGGCTTAAATATATTACTATTTGCTCATGAGTTTACAGCCTATGGCAATTTCATCACGCTTATGCTGCCATTCAGTGCACAGTTTTACTAGAGTTCACAGGGTTATGGTCCTTTCCTTGAATAAGGGAAACAACAAGAATAAAAAGCATGAACTCTTCAAATTTGAGAATTGCAATTGATTTGCTGAAGTGTATGACCTATTGTTGTATCTGGTTTGATATTTATCTACCTTTGTCCTTGAAATTGCAATCAGGATGTTCCTTAGCTCTGTGAGGAGGCTAAGAATCATGAGGACACCTGATGCTAATGGGCTTGGTAAGTAGATGCATCATTATTCCTAAAACAACTTTTTTTACTCTTTTTTCTTTCTCTAACGTAGTTACTCATTTGCAGCTCCAAGATTGGAAGAAAAGAACAGGAGATCGAATTGCAAGCCCATATAGATATTGTTTGCATCTTTACTCGTGCTAGGATGCAAAAAAATATGGCCTAAAAATGTACAACACAAATAGAAGTAAAAAATATGGGAGAAAAAAACACAGAAAAGTTAAGCAATACTGCGAGTAATGGATTTTGATATTTAAATGATCAAGCCTCGGGTTTTTTTATTTTTATGTTTTTGGATTCAATTCAAATGTTGTTTGTTCAATTTCTCTTGGTATATCACTTGGAGGGCACATGAGCCATACAATTTCATGTAATCTTAAGCATATAAGGCATTGCTGTTTGTTAATAATGTAAATATGAAATGTTTGCTACCATTCTTATTAAATTTTGATTGCCTTCTCTTTTCCTGCTATTGTATTTGGAATTTTCAGTTGAAATAAGAGGGCTGTTTTCCCTGTTTGTAACCATTGCTTTATATTTGACAGCACTCTTTTGAAGATAGTTTGAGACGCATAATACTCGTTGCAAAAACGCACACCTCCTCTGGTTAGCATGTTGGGTTGGCACACTAAATATTTTCATACCTTTTGAATTATTTGCATGTTGCTATACAGATTTGAATTAAAACAACTATAAGGCTGTTATATTAATAAGTGGTAGTGGCACAAAAAATGTGTATCAGGAAGGTGAGCAGATTCCTCATTTTATTGTGAAGAGGAGGATCAAACCATAATGATGTTATACTATTTTAGCCTTCTCCGTGTAGAACTTGCTTGACTATAAAGGATGGAATTCACGAGCTGTGTCTTTTGCGTTTAACAAAGTTAAAATACGTGTTTATACGTTTTAAGATTTGTTTTAAGAGTTGTTATCGGCTTTATATTGTCATATTGTTGGTGGTCCAGACTATCTTGTTCATTTCTTTGTTTTACAACAATGTTTTGGTCAAAAACATCCTGTTCTCAAGCACAAGCAATCTTGTGGAATTTAGAAAGAATTCTTGCCAGGAATTTCGGCAATCTGTCGGTTGTGAATATATTGTTGTGATCATACGATTTCGATTTAGACTTGAAAAAGTGGACCTGAAATGAGAATATTGATTAAAGGTATGGAGTGATAATGAATCAAATCAATTTAAAAATAGTTCAAAATATAATTCAATAATTAATTTGTTGAACTAGTTTATAAATTAATGAGTTGAATTTGAATTAAAAATTGAATTTAATAAATAAATGAGTCGAATTTGAGTTTTGTATAATTTGACTTGTTTAATTCATGAAACAATTTAATATATAAATATAGATGTTATATAATTGATTTTTTTATTTAATTTTAGCTAATTAAAATTTAAAAGGACCTTCAAAACTTAGTTATAAATTAATAATAATAAACATTTTAGAATTTTATGATTATAAATTAAATTTTTTATTATTATTTTATGTAAGGTGAAATAATTTTAATTTATACAAACTTTAGTTATAATCATATTTTTTTAGAGTCATATCTTTTAATCTTGTAAAGCTAATATAATAATTTATGTTTTACCTTTTAAAAAATTATTTTTATCTAAAATCTATTATTAAATTAAAAATTTCAAATATAAAAGATTTAAAAAAATAATTGAATTTTAATTCATATGACTTAAGTTAATGAACTAAACTAAAGTGTTGACAAACTTGAATCGAATCAAGTTTGTCTTAAAAAAAAATTCATATCAAATTTGAATCTATCTATAAATTGAACCAAATGTTATCAAGTCAAACCAAACTCTCCTCATCTCAACTCTATTCATTTTCGGTTCTAGGCAAAAGTAATACGATTTTAATTTATTACCATTAGTCTAACACTATTTAAGAGCCTAGATCTTCAATCATGCATTATTTACTCCGGTCAGTTTTTATCTTTGTTTTTGTTTTTGGTCAGAACTTTTTTTTTTTTTTTTTGTTGGGATTATGAATAACGGAATCGTGCCTTTTTTTTTTTGAGTGCATCGATCCAATAGATCTTTGCTAATGAAAGTTTCTCATATTTATACGAGGTAAAGAAGAAAAAAAAGAAACAGAAAAACTGGGACCAAGTTACTTTTGTTTACTTCATTTGTACGTCTACAGAGTTATTATTCTTATTCAAAGGATAATAGGTACAATTGCTTCTTGGTCTCTATTCAAATCTATGGCTCTGTACCAAAAACAGGATACAAAAGAAAATTTATTTGCAAAAATCAATACATCTTGATATACCAATTAAAATGTTAAAGATGAATATGCATAGCTGATTACAAAATTACAGCTGTAAACTGGTTGATGGACAGGATGAACTGATTTTTGGCTCCTACATTAGCCCATTAACTGGTGAAGTGCTAAAAACTGGGGTCTCTTTGCTGTTAGCTGCATCGTTGCCACTGCTCTTCCTGCGAGGCTTTGCCTCTCCAAGCATCATTATGACATCCCTCATGGTTGGTCTGTCCTTAGGGAGCTTGGCAGTGCAAAGAATTGCTATTCTTAGAACTAAAAGCATCTCTTCCACAACATGCCTGCTGTTTCCTACACTAGGGTCTAATGCTTCTTCTAGAGATTTGTTGTCTCTAATCTTCATTCTGATCCACTCTACTATGTCTATTGACTCTCCAAAGTCTGGCTCCAAGGGCCTCTTTCCTGTGAGAAGCTCCAACAAAACTACTCCATAACTGTAAACATCAATCTTCTCATCCACCTTCAAGGCATATCCATATTCTGCCAAATATTAAATCATTGAAATGTCATGAATATGAATCTTCTACATCTAAGGAAGAGCAACAATCTTCTATATCTAATGGCATGCTAATTGAAAGATATGTTCTCTGATGTTTACACTAAATATCCTACTTACTATAAACTAGTTTGGAAGCCAATGTAGATATTAATACCAGATAAATTAAGATTTATGAACTAGTAACTCACCAGGGGCAATGTAGCCATAGGATCCAGCAACCATGGAGACTGTTTCATTCTTCCGGATCATCATCTTGGCTAAACCGAAATCTGCTATCCTTGCCTCAAGATTTGCATCAAGCAATATGTTATTTGACTTGATGTCTCGATGAATAACGGGTGGATGACAATCATGATGAAGATAAGCAAGTCCTTGTGCAACTCCTAGAGCTATGTTATAGCGTGAAACCCAGTCTACAAGAAGTCTTGTTGTTTGTCTACCATGCAAGGCATCTCCCAGGTTGCCATTATGCATGAATTCATAAACTATCATCACATCAACGTCATTATGAAGAAATCCTAATAGTCTAACAATGTTCCTATGCCTTAGCCTCCCTAAAACATTAACCTCTCCCAAGAGGTCATCACTGCCTCCCACTTCAATATCAGTTCCTGTTCTCCACAGTTTTTTCACTGCCACAACTGTATTTGATTGTGGTATCTCAGCCTTATAAACCACCCCTGTGGCTCCCATTCCAATCACATTTGTTTCCTTGATGCAAGCTAGAATGTCAGTACTTGTAAAACTAAGCCTCTGAAATGCCATCAATCTCCAAGGCCACCCTTTGCCACCCTTATAGAATCTTTCTTGGAAGCAAAACCCTTCCGTGTACCATCTTACGTACAAAGATCTTGCTACCAAAATTGCAATACCAATAACTAGGATTGTTGATATTCCAGTGATCCAAGCTGTGGCAATGTGCTTTGCACGTGAGCTTCCACGCCTTGATGAGTATGCAGAATTTTGGTCACATGGAAGGAGGACACCACCACATAGGCCAGCATTGCCCACAAGATCATTTGGGTTTATAGTTCTTAGTATTCCATTTGCTGGGACTGGACCTTCTAGCTTATTGTATGAGACATTGAGTGCTTCCAGGGCTGGAGAAATTCCAAAGCTTTCAGGTATTTGGCCTGTCAAGGAATTTTTGGAAAGATCAAGCATGGCCAATGTAGGCATCTTAGCTAGTGCTTTTGGGATTTCACCAGTGAATTGGTTGTTTTGGAGGTTCAAATTTACCAACTTCTGACATGAAGCAATGCTTGCTGGAATGCTTCCAGATAGATGATTTGATGAGAGATCAAGAACTGCCAGGGATGGACAGTCCTGGAACTGGTCTGGGATTTCACCTTCCAAGTTGTTGTTGGAGACCATGAAAGCTTGCAGATTTGGAATTGAAAGGACAGTGGAAGGAAGAGAAGAATGGAGTTTGTTTCTTGAGAGATCAATGAAGGAAAGGGATGTGGAAGAAGCAATGTCATCTGGAATTCCACCTGAAAGACTATTGTTAGCCAATTCTAACCTTTGAAGCTTCCCAAGCTTGCCAAGACCCACAGGAACTGTCCCAGAAAGGAAATTGTTCTGAATTCGAACACGAACAAGTGAAGGACATATTGATAGGCTCGATGGAATTGGACCAGAGAAGGCATTGTTGAATAGTATGAGCTTGGTGAGATTGCCCTGGCTGCAAAGAGTTTCTGGAATCTCTCCAGAGAGTGAATTGGATGAGACATCCAACCATTGCAATGGTGAATTCTTGCCAAGGTTACTAGGCAATGGACCTGACAAGGAATTGTTCCATAGCTCAAGTACCTCCAATTGTGGCAAATCTCCAAAGCCAGAAGGCACAGGACCAGACAGCTGGTTTCCCATCAAGTTAAGAAGCTTCATATTCTTCAGCTGACTTATTTCAGCTGGAATTTTTCCAGACAACATGTTATCAGAAAGATCCAGCAACTGCAAAGAAGTCATGTTGCCAATTGCTGTTGGAATTCTGCCTTCAAAATTGTTGTTGTATAAGAAAACTGTATTCAATAACTTGAGTTCTCCCAATCCTCTTGGAAGCTCACCACCAAGATTGGCTACTGCTAAATCAAGATACTTAAGATTAGTGAGATTGCCAAACTCTTCTGGAATACCACCTTCAAATTCATTATACCCAAGGATCATATACTCCAGTGATGAAAGTTGTCCCAGCTCTCCAGGAATTTTACCAGTGAGATTGTTCCCAGATAGACCAAGGAACTTCAACTTATGCAAGTTGCTGAATGATTTTGGAACTGACCCTACAAAGAAGCTGCCTCTGAGATCCAGCATCTCTAAGGAAGAGGCACTTCCAAGGTCCTCAGGAAGAGAACCTGAGAAATCATTGCTGGATGCATTTAAGGCTATAAGTCTCCATGCCCTTCCAAGGCCTAATGGAAAGTCACCAATGAAGAAATTTTGGCTTACATCAAGACTGTTAAGTGTGGTGAGATTGGCTATGGATTTAGGCAATGGGGATGAAAAAGCATTGCAACACAAATTAAGTGAAGCAAGACTTTTAAGTCTTTGTATATCATTGGATACCCTGCCACTGAGATTCTTGTGGGAGAGGTCAAGCTTCTCTACTGCTCCAGCTGAGTTGCATTTGATGCCAGTCCAGTTACAGTGAGCTGCATCCTTTCCTGGTTCATTGTCATGCAGTTTCCAATCTCGAAGGGTGTTCAACGGATCAACGAGACCTTCTTTTATAGAAAGCAAAGCTGATACTTCATCATTTGTGGCAGCAGCAGCAAAACTATAGGAGAAACAACCAATGTAACAGAAGAAGATGAAAAGCTGCATTTTCATTTGCATCTTGTTCTTCTTCATTCTAATGGCTCAGTTGTCCATCATTTGCATTCTAGTGAAACTGAGGAAGAAGGTTATGGGGATGACACAACACTGGCAAAGAGTGATATGCCTAGTTTATGAGAAAGTGGTTGAAAGAAGAACCACAAATGCATGTGATTCTGTGTATTATATGACCAATAAATAAACCAGATGATTAGTTTCGGTCAATTTTTAAGAACTAATTAGGTTTATGAAGTGGTATTTCAAAGCAGATAGTAGTGTGCAACAGAGCAAGTAGTGACAGGTGAAGCTTTGGACCTATTAGGAGTTTATCCGACATTAAACATGGGAGAGAATATGGTTCTTAATGCTGTTTTAGTTTCTACTAATTTGAAGAGGGATAATGCAGTTCATTTTTTTTTTTTTATTCAAAAAGAGTTTATCTCTTATTTGTTTATTTCGAATTCCATTTTACAGTAACCACATTCTGGCTAACAAGATTGTGAGTGAAGGAATGCAAATTTAAAATCTTCTTTTGTAGCTGTTACATTAATATTTGTATTCATAATAATTACTGACCCCATCTCTGAGTTACTTTTCCAATTAAACTATCTGAACACTAGATCTCACACTTTCACAAATATTCATCAATTCAGCAATCTATAGTGGAGATTACACCAGCTGTGGGAAAGAGAAAAACTGAAAAAAAACGTTACAGAAGAATATAACTATCACAGTACCACACTGTTAAAGGGAACTTTATTTACAAGCCCCTTTGAGCTTTATGGTTCTGTTTTCAGACAAAAAACATTGTCTAGAGAATCTTTCCCAGTACATTGAATAAAAGTTTCTGGTTAAGCCTCTTTAAGTGTGAAAGTGGACTTCCAATTTCTAGTTAGAGCTGATTGAAGGGTAACTTCTAAGTATGACAAAGATTCAGAAATGATGCATTAGTGGGCCAACTAACATATGGTTAATGTAGGATCCACCAAAGAACATTGATGTACTTGTGATTATCTTAACATCAAATTCCAAACCAAAGTCATGTGATGATGAGAATAGCTTTTAACAGAGAGAGAAAAAACCGTATATTTTTTTAGTCCACTAGAAAGGAAAGGAAGAAAGAAAGACACACGGGGGAGAAGGGGAGAAAGATGAAAATTTTAAAAAAGGATTAAAGAAATAGAGATCAGAAACACCACCGATCATCCACTTGATGGTTTTAGTCTCATAAATGTTAATTATTCATTATGATTTTGATAAGGGAATCTTTCCATGTTATAGGGCGAAAGAAACTTGAAAATAAGACAAGTTCTATTCTACTACCCATTAAATTAAAAAAGTAAAAATAAAATGCAAGGGCCACAAATATAGTACAAGGTATTTTTAAAACTAATGCACCACTTATACACTCAATTGACCATTGGTGAAATGAAATAATAGAATCATATGCATATGTGCCAGCAAAAATCTTCAAATGCATCCTGCAATTAATGGCCCTTGTTAATTTCTAGACCCTAGAGTAGGTTTATTTATTTATTTTTCACAAAACACAAAATTAGTCATTGAAGATGAAGAAGCTAGTAATATTTGAAGCTAGGGACATGTTCATAATAATGGAGAATAAACTATAAGAGGAATTGGAAAACAGATGGAAATGGGAGAAAAGTGCAGCACTTGATCAATCATGGTCTGAACCTACCAACTGCCACTAATCATATACAATATATTTATTTTTTCCTTTCTTGCTTCCAATATTCACATGTACACATGGTGTGGACTGCTATAACAAGAAATTAAATTAATTAGTGACAATATTACTATGCCCTTTCTATTGCATAGATCACATCTGATACCATTTCCACGTACTAAGACAGATGGAAGCCATGTGAAATAGCAGCTTCCTAGTGAAGTACATCCTTCCTTATTATTGGAGAGAGACAATGAGAACTTCAAATATTGAATTAAAAATGTTTATGATGGCTGTTTCATTGAATTTGTCTGATGGTTATTCCATCTCACATTTCTTTGGTGGGAGAATGGGGAGATGTTATTAGAAGTTAGAAGTGAAAACTTTGGTTACTTGTGTTGTGTGTCCAAATGCATTTGTGACAAGGAAAACCAGAACCAGCTTTCAGCACTTAAAAAATTGATAGAAAAAGAAAACCATAGTGCAGACAGCGAAGAGATGCCATAATGGGATCATAGTGCTCCTAATTGCACATGTAGCACGTGCATGTGACGTGGCTGAGACTTGCATTTTTAGTTTACAAAATCATTCCTAGGTTTAGTTTGGTTAATGAAAACCAAGAAAGGATTTTGGGCTTCCATGGATATCTCTTGCTCCAAGAAACAAGGACATCGCACGAATTTTCAGAACTTATATTTTCCAATTAGAGTTTAAAATTTTCTCATGTTATTAACCACTTAATTATGCATTATCGTATCAATACAAATTTTGACTGTTGTGATTGTGTAGGTGTACTAATTTAAAAATTGATAAAAATAAGCATTTAACATCTCAAAATATCCTTACACAAGGATTGTTGATAAGTACTGAATCTAATTATTTAGGCAATAAAAATGATGTCTTGATTGGAAAAAAAATTGAAAAGGATAAGAAATGAAAATAAAGCGAGCAACCAAAGTACTGTAGATTTGAAAAAAAAAAAAAAGTACTAGAGATTTTGCAAGAGCATAGACAATAATTTAATTATGGATTAACTTAAGGAGTACCTATGTAGGTATTGAGATATTAACCCATTCTTATATGACCTACGTTCTATCCAATTGCTGGCTTATTGACATTCAATTCAATTATCATAATCTTAATACTTGTTTTTCTCACATTATTATCCTTAATGACAACAGTTAATAAAAGCTCTAAAGAACTAATAATTTTGGTAATTTAATAACTAATTGAAAATAATGAATTATGATTGGTTTTCCAAAACTCCAAATCCAATGTATATTGTAGTTTTGTTAATTAAATCCATTACATCATTGCAATTATCTAAAATTATAGAGTGACGAATTTTCATCATGCCATCCAAAATATTAGGACAAACCAGATAAAGAAACAGTCATATTAAAATTAATTTTAAAAAAATTGGTCAAAGTACATTATCTGCTATAACCTTAAGTATGAACTTAATAAATAGTAACTCACAATAACAAATAAATCCAAAACAACAACCAAAATCATAGAAAGATTCATAATCCTAAATAAATGATAAGAAATTATCATAAAGTAATTATTTATTCACAAGAATGCTCTTTAATCTTGATAGAGGGTCTCAAATTTTATTTTTCCATGAAATATTATATATAGTGACATATAACAAATGTTGCTAAAAATAATATATATATATATATATATATATATTTATTTATTTATTTATTTGACATATATCCATACACTATTTTAACATGAATTTTGAATGAGTTAATATATATTGTATGTTATTATAATCTATACCTACATTTTTTTGTTAATTTTGTTAACAATTATGAGAATATACTAATATATATTGTAGGTATAAATAACTTTTAATAACAAAGTATTGTAAGATATTTCATTATAAGACAACTTTTTTTTTTTTTTTAAAACAATTTTTTTTTTTTTTTTTTTTTTTTTGTATATCTTCTAATCTTTAATTCAATCGAGCTGAGTTGAATTTTGTACTTTTAGGCTCAAAAAGTATGGGGTTAAGTTGAGCGAGTAAAAATTAAGCTTGAAAAGTATTCAGTCTCTTTTACTAGATATTTTTAAAAATTTTAAATTATATATAAAATTATTAAGAAAATATGCTTAATTTAGGATCATAAAATTCTATGGGATATATCGCTATGATTTTGAAAAGACTTTGAAAAAAATTTAAAAATTTAAAATAAACATTATAAAACAAACTTTTTTTCTTGTAAAATCTTAATTGTTAGGCTATTGATCAACGATATAAATAGTTATTTATTCTCTTATTTTATCGACATAAAATCTTGTTCGGATCTCAAAAGAATATATGATTGATTTTGCATATGTGAGAACATTGGTAGTGAGAAATTTATTAGAGCCGTTAAAGTGGGCTGGGACCCGTGGGCCAACCTGGCCCACCTTGAAAACGGGCCGGGTCGGGCAAAAAAAAATTAAAATTTTATAGTAGGTGGGTATATCTCAACTCGACCCACTTTGACTCGGCCCACCCGGGCTGAACCCGTGGTGGGCCGGGTAGCCCACCAATCTACCAATTTTTTTTGTAATAAAAATTTAAGTATGATTTATAATTAAATTTGTATGATAGGATATTGAAAATTTTTATTTTGGACTTTTATCATGATTTGTATTTAATTTTATATGATGAGTTATGACTTATGACTATTAATGATGCTAATTTTATGACTATTATGTTAATTTATAATTAATTTTAAATTTTAAATTTTGTTGATAATTTTTTTTTTAATTTTTGGTGGGCTGGTGGGCTGGCCCGTATAACCCGCCAACCCGTGGTGGGCCGGGTCGGACCAAATTTTTTCTGAAAAATCAACAGTGAACCGGATTGGATTGACTCGTTTTTAAAGTGGGTTAAGGTGGACTGGTCCACATGGCCGGGCTAGCCCGTTTTAACAGCTCTAAAATTTATGAATACTTTTATAAACATTTATAGAGTCTTGAGACTGCTCTAACCTTGGTCAGTCTCTAGTACCCAATTCACCTAAACTTTTGTGTACCAAAACACAAAAGTTTATGAACTATGGGTTGTATTCAACTTTGGTGTTTGAGTTAGTTTGCCTTTGCTTCGAGACAATAAGCATATAGAGACGCAACAAATCAGGGGAAAAAAGGAATTATAGGAATGTACGTAGGAACCATTAGTGTGAAGTTGTTTGTATTGTAGCCTTCAATGAATGAGAAACAATTTCGCTTTAGTGCAACATACAACTCCTGATGTGATACTTTACTTTCCTTATAATACTATCATGCCTGTAATAAAAGTTTACAATGTTGAATGTTTTCAGATTTGAAGTAGTATACTGATTATATTCTCTGGGGAATATGTAGGCACAGTTCTTGTTACTGGAGAGTGGCTCTATTTAGCTTGTCTCTCCACATTACGGCTTTAAATTGTGGTTGTAGTTGCGGTTTTGTTACAATCTTTGATGTTGTGGAGAATTGCAAAAAAAAAAAAAAATGAGAGCATGCTGTAACAATTACATTCACGATGTGGTCAGATTGACTCCAAGTCTTGACATAGGGGTTGAAATTACAGTCATAGATCACTTGTTAAAATATTGCTCTACATATTGACTATAAGGAAACTGTTGGAGGTGGAAATTCCATTGAAAATGTTCTCA